GAGAGAGAGAGAGAGAGAGAGAGAGAGAGAGAGAGGAGGGGGTATGTGTGAACATTTAGTTTCTCCTCAAACGTCGCTGACTGCATTCTTCTCTTGGCGGGTGGCGAGAGCAGAGCATCCGAGAGAAAGCGAGAGAGAGAGAGACATACATCCATAAACAGAGAAGGAGAGAGAAGGAGAGAAAGAGAAAGAAAGAGAGCGAGAGAGAGAGTCCGAGGAGAAGCTGAAACTTCACTGCAGACGCTCCTGCTCAGGTTGGATCAATCTCTAATATATATTCTTACAATATTCTCATGATACTCTCGTGTGTAAATGACTTGTACAGCAGTGCGTTAGCTTTCATCTTCAGCATCTGTATAATACTCTGTTTATTTGGGTTTTTTATTCAGTATACCTTGTACTTTTAAACTGTTATTCGCACATGTAGCATTTTCTCTGCATTTCTCCATTCACCTTTTTCCGTATATATTACCTGCAGGTCATATTATAGCGCGTGTTTCTATGTAGAGCTACTGGCATCGATACCAACAGCCAAAGCGCATGAATTGATTCTTTTACCACTTGCGTTGCGATCGTTTGCTTGTTATTTTACATGCAAGTGAACCAGCAGCATCCTTATGTCCTCACACTCCCCCCCCCCCCTGTGTGTGACGGTGGAAATGTGTGTTTGCAGCAGAGTAGAGATAAAAACAACAACGCGAGGTTTTTGCGCGCACACACATGGCACCGCAGCAGGTTCCAGTGATGGTTCACTCCTCGTGCAGCCTATTCAAGTTCTGTGAAAACGGCTTGTTTTTGCACGTGTGATACACATTATCCAGAGGTATTCGCTGGCTCCCTTGTGTACCATATTTCATCTAAGTGCACACAATAACAAATGCACCGTGGAGGGTTGGACATCGGTCAGAACGATGATGTGCACGGTGCCATTGCTGACTATCGTGAGTCCTAATGATGCAAATACATAACAGCGGTATCCACAAGGTGGATGTTCCAAGCAGGAACCAATTAAGAGATACAGGTAGACTATAAATATTAAAATGCCAGTTTGAAGGTTGCATGTCAGGTCACCAAACCTGAAAGGTGACACCACTCAAGTACTATTTTTACTTGGGGCGATGTCCCTGGCAGTACACACACACACACACACACACACACACACACACACACACACACACACTGCCCTCTCCATTGTAATGCAGCACATGCTTTTCACAACATGATCCTGTATCCAGCATGAAGGACCAGAAAAAGGCTTTCATGTGCAATGCAGGAGGGGAACGAGAAAAGCAGCTATTCATGCTTTTTGGTCCTTGAGGAAAAAAGAGAAAGACTAAAATAAGAGGGTATTAAACAGTAAGATGTTTTACAAGAAACCTACAGAGATACTGGACATTTTTATTATCTGATCTTTTATCTTTACCATTTAATTACAAGTCTTTTTATCATTGGCTCTATCATCCCTTTTATGATGTATTTTTATATTTTATTTCATAATTCACTTGCAAAGATTGTTTTTTCTGTTCTTAATGTCGTCTACAGAGTAGAAGCATGTGGTGTACAGCCTCAGCCTGTGAAGTGAATAATGTGTGAAGTGATGGATTATTATTATTATTGGCTCTATGATTCCTATGACAACCCAAGAGACTATAGACAGTATTGCACTCATAAGTGTCGCAATTATATGTGTGGTCATAGCAATGAAGCTAATGATTTGAGAGAGAGAGAGAGAGAGAGAGAGAGAAAGAGAGAGAG